CCAGGCCTCTGCCCTCCCCCCACCCTGTGCTTCTCCCCCCCAGGGCCTCTTCCCCAAGGGCCCCTCTGCCCCAGGGCCTCTCACCCCTCCCCACCCAGCCTCTCTCCCCAAGGGCCTCCCCTTCCACCCCAGGTCTCTGGCTGGAACCCTCCAAGATACGGTTCCAAAGAGCCAAAGCGTCAGCAAAGGGCTCTGGGGACACGAGGCTGGGCTAGCAGGGACGGGTGGGGGTGGGGGCGTGTGGCCCTGGGCTGCCGGGTGCACACTGCTCTAGGGATGCCATGGGTGTTGGGTAGGTCCTGGCACCAGCGTCTCTCCAGCTGCCCTGCTCGGTGCTTGGCTACGCTGGCTGTCTTGTCCTGGGTCTTGGAGCCCTGCTGTGAGGGTGTCCACACCTGTGTCCTTGCACCCTGGCTTCCCTGCGATGACCTCCGGGGTGACCTCTTTGACCTCAGGGAATGTGTGCTTACAAGGGTTAATCGTAAGGATTAGGATCAGGATTATCGTGTCATAAGGATTAAAACACCAGTGGACCAAGTTTTGGCTCTGTGGGTGTTGGCACACCCATTGGGGCAATGTTGGTGGGCACCAGCGTGCCCCCAGGGGGCCCTGGCGACATCGCCGAGAAGCACAGAGGCCTGGTCAGCCGGGAAGAAGTGCCGACTGCAGCCGGAGCCTTGGCTTCGGGTCCCGGGCCTGAGCGGCCCTCCCGTGGGGCCTCCCAGGACTTCCCTCTGGGGGTTTGTGATGTGTGTGCGGTGGGCCAGGAGTCAGGGCTGCCCTGCCCAGCGGGCTCCTTCCCGCCACCCCGCTCAGGCCTATCGGCCCAGGTCACCTGGGGTGCCAGTGGCGACTGGGGAAGGGCCCGGCCCCAGCTGGCTGGCCCACCCACCCCTTCGAGGCCTTGGCATCCTTTCTGTGGTGACCGGACTACGGAGCTGGCGGCACGGCCTTTCTGAGGTGGCTCAGGAACCGTTTACTGATGGATGGGTAGTGGAGAACGTGGCTGCCTGTGTTGGTGGGGAAGGTCCCACGGCCGGGAGGCCTCCGCAAGCCCAGGGTGGTGCCCACTGCTCTGCCCCAGCAGATCAGGTCTCCCCTGGGCGCACAGCGCTCCATCTCCGGCAGGACCTTGAGTCCGGTGCTCGCATGGGAGGGACACTAGGCCCTGTACTGTGGCTTTGGGCCCTGGTGGCTGGCAGGGGGGGTGCCGGGGGTTGAGCAGGCTGCTGTGCCAGACAGACACGTGGAGTCTGGGAGGCCGGTGGCAGGCTCCGTGTTCCTGGATGTGAGCGGGGGGCCCCCTGCTTGTAGAAGGGGGCTTGCCAGTGGCCCCCCGGTTGGACTCCCCATGGTGGGGATGTCCCCGCCTCACCTACAGCACCTTCCGGCACAGCCCTGCTTTGGCGTCCTCTGTGAGTCCCCAGCATGGCGGTGGGGATTCGGATTCCCAAGGAAGGGGCTGCTTGGCGGCTCGTTTAAATTCCTCCCTATCTGGGGGAGTGACTGACACAGAGCATGGGCGACTTTGAAGTTTTATTTTTTGGTTTAGGACCTGCACGCTTTAAAAAGCAAACACTCAAAACATTTATTGGCAGCCCCTAACCACGGCTTGTGGCTCCCAGGCCTGCAGCACAGGTAAGTCGCGAGATGTTTCCCTGGTGGCCGGACAGCTGCTGCCTGAGCGTCCCCACAGCAGCAGCGGGGTCCTGAAGAGGCCCAAGTGCTCTAGGCTCGGAGCTTCCCCAGGGCGCCCTCACTTCTGAATCCGGAGCTTGAACTCCACTCTGCCCTCATAGGGGTCGTGGGGGTTGTCGAAGGCCACGTAGTCCGCCAGAATCTTGCACATGATGATGACCTCCATGTCCCTGGGCACGTTGAGGAGCTTCGCGGCCACCAGGGGGTTGCTGTAGTGGGGCTGGAAGGGAGACGCAGGAGGAGGCGGTGGCGGTGGCAGTGGGGTCGGGGTGGCTGGGAAGGTGCCGAGGTGGGGGTGCTGTGTGGGTGACATGGGACCCTCGCCAGCTCACATGGGCACTGTGCTCAACCTGAACCCACGGGGTGGAAACACCTCTTGCTTACAAGTAAGGAAAATCGGCATGGATGGCACAGACCACCCACAACAAGCTTGGCTTGAGGCTGTAGTTGATGAGAAATAATATAATAGCACAGCGAGTCTGGTGAAAGGCAGTAATGAAGTGGCCCTGGAGGCATCCGGGAGGCCCGGCGTGAAGTGGGGGGGCCCGTGCGGGGCTTCGCCTCAGCCAGCCCGGACGTGTGGGCCTGGGAGCCTCGGCAAAGCCTCAGCCCTACTCGGGGTACCGGGGGCCGCCTGTGGCCCGGACCTACCTGTGCCTTCCTCCCGTAGTAGGGAAAGTAGTGCAGACTGAAGGTGCCCATCGGTGGGTAGTAGTCCACTTGCAGGGGCCGCTTGTCTGGGAGCTGGTCCTGGGGTCGGGAGGCGGGGCCTGAGTGTGCTGTGCGCTCAGTGACCCGCAGGGACGCTGGCGTGCCGTCGGCCCGACCTAGCTCTGAGCCTGGGCATCAGTGCGGAGGTCCCGCGGGGCGTGGCCCCTGGTGACCGGTCACATGAACTTGTGCCGTCGAGCCCAAGAGCCTGCACGTGGGCGGCCTTGCTGACTCTGCCCTTGTGTGGCGGGATTTGTTTCCTTCCTTCTGACGCAGCACATGGCCCGACAGGTTGCTGAGCTTGTCAAAGAACAGGCAAAGGATGCTTTTGGGCTATTAAATCTCAAGTCGCCCTGCAGATTGCAGGTCGAGATAACTAAAAAGGCACCGTGCCCCATGGAGAGTCATGCATGCTCCACAGGGTGCTCGGGAGAGGGCCCCCTGCTCGTAGCATGGGGCCTTTAGCGGGGCGTATGGTGAAAACAGACTTTAGAAAATCTTCTGTGAAGACAAACTTAGTTTTTTTTCATGATGTACTTAGAAACTTATTCGAGAATAACTGGAGTAAATTAATGCCAAGTCTCAGCAGCCCCCATACCCACTATTAAACAGCTATAGCTGTTGGTAATCGGGCACATTTTTGTAAATAAGCAAATTTCAAGAACAAAACGTTTCCACAAATTGCCACTAAACACTTGAAGGGCGTTATTGATATACTGTTGATACTATGTGCTTTTTGAAGCCAAGTAACAGCAGAAAACCATTTTTTTTTCTTACTAGGCTTTGTCCTCTGTTGGAAAGCTATCTCAGGCAGCGGTTCCTGCGTCTGCCTTACCGGGCTGACACCGAGCTGTGCGCAGGAAGGCCAGTGGGTGCAGACAGGCCCGGGCCAGGGCACTCACCCGGAAGGCGCAGTCCGCCCGGGGGGCTGTGCTGTTGCTCGGGAGGAAGTTGACGATCTGGAACGGAAGGGGCGCCAGCGGGTGAGTGGAGGGCCTGCCCCAGCAGGGGGCACCCGGCCCCTGATGAGGGCGCGGGCTTCTACTCGGCCTTCACAGCCAGAAGCCCCACGCCGTGCAAGCTTCCCCTGGGCCTCTTAGGAAAGATGAACAGGGCCATGCAAAGACTGGGGCCCTGGCCCCAGGAGCCCCTGCCGTGGCACAGAGCGGTGTTATCTTGCCCACTCACCCAGCGAGCTCCCGGCTGTTCTTAGGTCTCTGCCAAGCTGTCACTAGCTGCTGGCACTGAGGGGGCTATGGACTCCATCCTCCTGCGGCTGCCCACCTGGCCCTGCTTGCCCTCCTCAGCTCCTGGCCCTGGGCCACTGTGGTTCCCTGGCTCATCAGATTGGAAACCTCTGGGCGGTTCCCGGGGGCCCTGCCAGTGCCGTGCATGGCCTCTTTAGCTATTGTGCACGCTTGCTGCCCTGGCCCCCGAACCCCAAGCTCTGCTGCTCAGCGTCCAGGTGCTGCAGAACACCACGCAGTGCCATGTCAACAGGCGGGTTTCCTCGGTGACTGTAGCTCTCTCGCCAACAGCAGCAGGTACGTGCTGATTGGAGGTCAGGCAGGGTGGACAGGCGGCCAAGCAAGACTCCGCCCCCTGCTCTTGGAACCCTGGTCAGAGCAAACACCAGCCGACCTCCAAGGAGCCTCGCCCCGGATCTTGTCTGCAGCCCTCTGAACTTACCCGGTTCATTTTGATGATAAAACACGGCTTTCCTTCCGCAAAGCCAAAGCTGGGATCTGCCAGGCCCGAGCAGTTCTGCAGCATGTCCGCCGTGAACTTGCAGGAGAACTTGGTGTGGTTCGGGGCCCAGAAGCCCTCCTGGAAGAAGTACCTCTCGGAGGTGCAGTTCACGTTGGCCTCCTGGGATGCTGGCGAGTAGCCTGCCGGGCAGATGCACCTGTGGGTGCCCGGCTCCAGTGTCAGCCGCCCTGGAAGGGCCCACCCTCTGTGACATGTCCTTAGAGGAAAGGAAACCAGCAGCATTTGCAACTTTACCTGCCAGGAAGTTGTGGAGGGCAAGTGCCAGGCCCACCCAGGTCCTGTTGTCGGAGATATTGTAGGAAATGTCCAGGCCTTTCTCCCCATAGACGTCTGGCCGCAAGGTCACACCTGGAAGGGGCAGGACACTTTGTTTTCGCAGATGTTCATCACGTCCAAGTAGTTGGCTGCAGAGCTGGTGAGTCGCACACAGAGTGTCTGGCCGGTGGGGCAGCGCCTGGCCTCCTCTGCCGCAGCTGCTGGGGAGAACCCCGCCTGCCAGCCCTGGCTGCACCCCTGCCAGCACCACCAGCAGCCACGCGTGCTGTTCCGAGTGACGCCTTGTCCCAAGTGTGGACTGGGTTTCTAAGTGAGGTTGCATGTGAGTGCACATCTGGGCAGCCCTCACTGGTCTGCTTTAAAAAGCAGTCTACCAACATGCTAACTGCAAAAAGAGAAAAGCCAAAACTTGTGTGTGTTGACGTGGCAGCCCTGGGTCCACGACCAGCCAAGCGCATCCTTGTTTCTGTTAACTACAGACATGGGGGTGTGTATGTCACACGTTGACACCAGCGGGCTGCTGCCCATGGTCGGCCGCCTCAGCCCTCCACCTGCCACCCGGCACCCGCGCCTCTTCTGCCCATGCGTGCCACGTCATCTCCTCCTGGGAATGTCCCACGTGTGTCTTCTGTCCCTACTGACATGGTGGCTTCTTACACGAGTGAGCTGGGCTTTGCTTTTGTGGATATTGTGACAATAACAGCTGAACATGGCTTAAAACAAAAGCTTTCAGAGAAGGAAGGGCAGAAGGCCTCCGTCCCTCCACACAGCCACCAGTCCCAGTGCTGCCTGGCCTCAAGCCCCCGCCTCCTCCCCATGACCAGGTGACACCTCCTGCTTCTGTCCCCTGGGTCTGGGGCAAATTATATTTAGTTAGGTTCCCAAGTTTGTATACATTGTATTCTGTTCTAGAATCACAACGAGGCCTCCATGTTTCATCCCTTGGCTGATTCTGAAACTGGCTCCCCACAGGCTCCGTGGTGGCTCATCATGGTTCTCGCAGGAAACTCAGGCCATGGCTCCCCTGGGCGCCTCCAATCCTCCTCCCCACTTCTGGCTGGACACGCTGCTGCAGGCCCACTGAGGGTGTGGGCGGCCAGCGTCCTGCCCCGGGCCGGGATGCTGGCCGCCCCAGGTCCCCCCTTCTTCCTCCACCGACCCCCCCACCTGGCTTGCTCTCGCTTTTGCTGGGAGTGCAAGTTGTGGCCTGGACCAGCTCCCCAGAACCAGAGGTGCTCCGGCTCTGGTGCTGATGTCTCGTCAGGGTGACTTTCTCTCCCTCGGGTCCGGCTCAGGAGGGCAGGGTGGACGCTGATCCCCCTCCAAGCCTCCGTTATCTGGCAGGACAGAGGACAAGGTGCACCCGGAGCAAACTCCTGTCCGAGCACGGCCTGCTGTCTTGTAAGTCACATGCGGCCTCAGCACTGGGGACGCTCCGCGGGAAACAGAGCTCTTCCCCACCAGCCCTCCCAGAACGGTCTGCGGGTGTGTCCATGTGTGTGAGGTGACAGGAAGCCTGCCTCTGCCCTCTGTTTTAATAATTAGAACCAAAGCCAATGTCACATTCATAGTCTGGGGTGTTCACCAGAGAAGCTGGGGGGCCATCCATGCCCTGCCGTGCCCCCTGGGCCTCAGGCGCCTCAGGGCTTTTCCCAGAGGCTCTCTGCTCCGGCCACAGCCCTGGGGCCTGGCGTGGCCCCTCATGCCCAGGTTGTCGCCTCGCTACCTGGAGACTTCAGCTGGTCCTGGTAGTCGGGCGTGTACGGGTCGAGCGTGCTCATGAGCACGTAGATGCAGAGGGCGAAGAGTCCCGTCATCACCACGTAGAAGCCCACGTAGTAGAGGCTGATCCACACTGCGGGGAGGGGCAGGGAAGATGCAGCCGACACGTGGTCCAGCCACTCGAGCCACGTTGCACACCCATCCCCTCTACCTAGAGCCAGCGTGTCCCGACCATACAGAAGAACCCTGTGCCCCTCACCTTAAAAGTCTTTTTAAGTTTCAGGAGCATAGCTTTAAAAATACCTTCCAAATTTAAGGCTGAACCTTTGGGGCCAATCTGTCTATGTTCCCACCTTTTAGGCACCTGGCATCAGGGGGCATTGAAGCCGAAATGGGCCCCCTTGGGGCCTTCTGGCAAGGGAGGTGAGGCCTGGCCGGGAGTCGGGCCGGCCCAGCCGCTGGCAGTCCTCGGCCTCTCTCGGAGCGGCCCCTCCGTCCCCTTCCCCACGCACGCACCCCAGCGGGACAGCGTCCTGCCCAGCATCTGGCCCGTGTCTGGGTTCCAGCAGTAACGCTGGAATTCCTCCATCCGCTGGCTACATGACTTTTTCTCCTGTAGCGCTGCCATCGTCCCTGCTTCTGGAGCCCTTTCTGCTGCTCCCCGCACACAGCTGAGGGGAGGAAGTGCCCTCGGGGTTTTATAGTCTCCTCCATCGGAGGTCACAGCCGCAGAGACGGGCCCCGGGCAGAGCCCTGCCGTGGCGGTCACCCTCAGCTTTCCAAATACCGGCGTGCAGCTGAGACGGCTCTGCTATCAGCTGCCTCTCCACCTCCGGGCGAGGCAGGTGGCGCCACTCTTACGCCCCGTCCTCTGGGGATGCCCTTGGCCGGTCCTTAATCTGCTCTGATAGCTCAGGGCAGCAGTAACAGGCTCTGCCTCCTCTCACTTCCTGCAGGAAGAGGGATGTGAGGTGCACAGGCCAGAGCAGGGACATCCCGGACCTGCCCCTCGTGCTGAGATGATGGGGGTGGGTGAGGCCACGAGGGTGCGGTTGCCCGGCTCCATGCCCGGCTCCTGCCGCTGCAATGCCTACTTTGTACTCGGGCTGGCAGAGCACATCTGACCGTGCTCAATGGGCCAGAAGCCCTGTTCCGGATGAGAGGGTTCAGAGGGTCCCGCCTCCTCCCCCATCGCTCTTGATGCAGCTCCAGTGATGAGGGTGACCCTTCCCAGATCTCTGTGGGGATGTGGCGGCAGGAGCTCACAGCCGTATAACCCAGAGGTGCTTTTCAGAACTGAGTGCACACTGGTCCCCAGGGCTCGGACCGAACTGCAGATTCTGACCGGCGCCCTGTGGGCCCGGGAGCTCCCAGTGGGCCGTGCTCATGGCCGCAGGGCTGCAGCCACATCCGGGTGAGGGATGGCCTGGCAGCACACCAAGCCGCCTGGGTGCCTGGAGAACTTCTGGTCCCACCCTCACATTTCGAGAGACCATGGCCTGAGCGTCCGGACTGCTGCAAGCCCCCAACCCACCGGGATGTGTGGCCAGAACCGGGGGCCTTGGCAGTTCACGCATCTGGAGCCATGCCAGCTGTTCACCAGGGCATCTGTCTCTGCAGTTAGGCTAGAGGGACAATGCCAGGCAAATACCACATGCCGCAGGGGCCTATTTGCAAATAGTCAAAATAAAGTAATGGGTATCTGTAACTTCGGGGAGAGGAAATCCTGGGGCAAAATACCTCTAAAACAGAAATCAAAGGGAGAAATAAAGTTTAAAATCCGTTTATTGCTTACCAGCTGCAGTCCTGGGACCGTTTCTCCTGCTGTCGCGGGAGGAAGTCAGGTGTCCCCCCAGCCCCTCAGGTTCCAATAAGCCCTCTGTTGGTCACCCTGGTAATTACCCACTGATATGGAGAGGAACTACCTCTCTCCACCCCTGAGGGACGCCTATTCACATGGACATGCACTAAAGCCAGGCGATAGATCCTGGAATATTACAATTTTACCCAGAGTATCACACACAAGGATCTAGAGTTAAGTTCATTATCACGTGTAGTTTTCCCTTGGAGGGACCCATGTAGCCAAACTGGAAGGTTCTTCAGGGAGAAGAGTAAAAGCCTCTAGCCATTAATTCTACCTTATTTTCTGTGGGATGATTTAGGGTTTGTCAGCAAAACGAGCCCTCTACAACCGAGACGGAATAGCACCATTTAGCTTGGACTCACTGTTTCTTGGTGGATGCATCCTATGCATTTTTAATAAGTCTTCCCACTCTTAACTTTGGAATCTTTCAGTAATGAAAGCGCCGTGAGGCATGAGGCTGGGGTTGAATTGTCGACATGGCCTGGGCCTCCAGCGCCCTGGCCTGAAGTTGCAGACCAGTAATTGCTGTCCGTGAAATGATGCCACCCTTGACTGTGAATTTCAGAGGGGCTCTTGAGATGAGCAAAACAGGAATTTTTTCTGGAGGTCTTTGAGCTGAATCCTGCACAGGTGGTCTCTGAATTCCCGGAGGTGTGAAAGTATGTGCTGAGCTGTGTACACGTCATCAAACTGAAGCGTGCGCACTGGAGGAGAGGCCTGAGGGCAGCCTCCTGCCCAGCAGGCTCCGAGAAGGGGGTGCAGATAGATATCCCATGAGGGTAGGCCCTGACGAGGTGGGGAGCATACCCCAGCTTCGCAGGTGGGGGGCCTAGCCTTCTCCCTCCCCTGCAGCAGCAAGGTGGGGCACCCCCTCCCACTGCTGGACTGACTCAGCCCTGAAACCGCAGGGCTAAATGACAAAAGACGTCAGGTTTCAACTGAACCAGGAAAGATTTCAAGAGGAAACAAACCAGGACAGTCAGTAGGTGGCGACGCCGAGGCACGGACGTCGGGACTGACAGACTTAAAAGGCACCGCGGCTTCACTGAGCACGCCTGAAACAGAAAAACAGAAGATGCAGTAAGAACCGAACGGAAATTTTAGATTAACAAAATGCAATAACCAAAACAGAAGCTCAAAGAGTGGGTCAGTGGCCGGAGAACAGGCAGGAGGAGCCACTGATACAGCAGCACGGACGGCGGAGATGGTGCTCTGGACAGAACACGGGCTCGGTGCGGGGGGTTCTGCAGGGGAGCCCGCACGCCTGTGTCGTTGGAGGCCGCGGGGAGAGGGAGGCGGGATGAGCCCAGGCGCGAGGAGGGACATGAGGTCCCCAAATGCGGCAAAAGACAAGCCTAGACCAAGAAGCTGGGTGGATCCTAAACAGAACAACCCTCCTAAAATGCATCTAAGGTGCGTTATAATTAAACTTCTGGAAATTAAAGACATACACACTCCAAAATCTAAAACACAGCCAGAGAAAAATTATTTGAAGGAAAGAAGACGTCTCATCAGAAACCAGAAGGAAGCTGCACAGAACATGCAAAGTGCTGAGAGGCGCGACCGTCGGCCCTGAGCCTTGAACCCAGCAGAACCCCCTTCAGGGATGAAAGGGGGTCCAGACATTCTCAGATGAAGGGAAAGATCATTTGTCCTTAGCAGACTCACCCAAAAGGAGGTTCTGGAAACGGAGACGGCGTGAGCTAACAGCAGCGTTGGAATATCTGGAAGGAAGAAATAACACAGTAAAGCAAAATATGAGTAAATACTACAGTCTTTCCTTGTTTTCTGAGATATATTTGATGCTTGAGACAAAAATAACATCACCTGACATTGTCCTACATGTATGTAGATGAAATAATTAAGGCAGCTATAAATGGGGAAGGAGAAAAGGAGGTTTTCCATGCTTGAACTGATAAAACAGTGGCCATGAAATGTGGTAAGTTATGTATATATAATTAGATGCCTAAAGCAAACAATAAGATCTGTATAAAAAGATACACTCAAACACTATAGATAATCAAAATTGAGTTCTAAGAAATGTTCAAATAACCCACAGGAATAAGGGGAAAAGAAGACAGGGAAGACAGAAAATGGCAGATGAACTCTAATGTATCAATAATTACAGTAAAGGTAAATGGTATAAATGCACCAATTAAAAACAGACTGACGGAATGGAGAAAAACATCACCTAACTATATACTGTCTATAAGAAACTCACCTCAAATATAATGATATAGGCAGGTTGAATGGGAAAGGATGGAAAAAGATATACAAATATTAATCAAATGAAGTAGGAGTGGCTCTATTAATACCATTAAAAAGTAGACTTCAGAGTAGAGACACGCAAATGTAATGATGAAGGCCGGTCTGCCAGGAAGAAACAGCAGTCCTCAGCGTGTGTGCGTCACACAGCAGAGCCGTGGATTTGTGATGCAGACTGAAAGACTGAAAGGAGAAATAGACAAATCCACAATTTTAGGAGACTGCAGCCCTCCTGTCTCAACTGATAAACAACCGAGTAGAAAATCACCATGGATACAGAACTTACCATCGTCAGCCAACAGGATGTCACTGACATTAGTCTCCACCTAACCACAGCAGAATACATCTTCTTTACTGTCCCTGGGACATATCCGAGAAAGACCATATCTTGCGCCATAAAATAAAGCTTGATGAATTTAAAAGAATTGAAATCTGTTAACGTGTGTTCTCCAACCAAAATAGAGTCAAACAAGAAATTAACAACAAAGATAAAAGGAAAATCTCCAAACACATGAAAACTAAACAACATACTTCTAAATAATTCATGAGGAAATTGCAAGGAAAAAAAAATACATGGCATTGAATGAAGACAGAAATATAACATCAAAATTTGTGGGATACAGACAAAGCATTGTTAACAGGAAAATTTATAGCACTAAATGTAACTCTTAGAGGAAAAGGAAGTTTTAATAATCTAAGTTCCCACTTCAAAAACCTAGAAAAAGAAGAAGAAAATAAAAAGCAGAAGGAAGGAATAAAAGATAAGAGCAGAAACCTGTGACGTCTAAAACGAAATAAAAGGGAAAATCAGTGAAACAAAGAGCTGCTTCTTTCAAAAGCTCAGTAGAATGGATAAACCTGCGACAGGAGAGAAGACGCAGATAGTGAGAGTTCGCCCAGAGCCCGCAGGCAGCAGGAGCGGGTAGAGCTCCCCGCACCCCTGCGCACGCGGACTTGGCCCCCGACCTGAAGTGCACCTCAGCCTGCCCGGTTGGAAACAGGTCACCCAAGTAGCCCTCTGACCATTAAGGAAACAGTTCGTAATTTAAATCTGACCAAGAAACCTCCAGGCCCTGATGGTTTCTGGAGAATTTAAGGAAGAATTAACACAGATTTTACACTCGTCTCCTAGAAAGTAGGAGAGAAGGGAATTATTTCCCAACTGGTTGTATTAGGCCAGCATATTCTGATACAAAACCAGACAAAGATAGTGAAAAAAAAGAAAACTACAGACCAATATCCTTCACAGACAGAGATCTAAAAACCCTTAACCAAATATTGTCAAATTACTCTAGCAATGTATAAAAAGCATCATATACCATACGCCAAGTGGGATATACTCTAGAGGTGTGAGGCTGGTTCAATATTCAAAAGTCAGTCTGTACCCCACATTAACGGGCTAAAGAAGACGGACAAAATTAACATCCATTTTTAAAAGTCTTAGTAAACTAGGAATAGAGGGATATTTACTCCACTTGATTAAAAGCGTGGACAAAACTCTGCAGCTAACACTGTATCTAATGGCGGAAGACCATTTGCCCCGGATCAAGATCAAGGTGTGGGTTTCTGAACATTCAGGCCAGTGGAGTGAGCCAGAGAACAAAGCCACACAGACCAGAGAGTAAGAAATAAACCTGTCCCTGTATATGTAGAAAATACCAAGGACTCTACAAAACAAATCTCCCAGCGTGAGTTCAGAGGGCAAAGGAAATAAGACAAATGTCTGAGTATCCACTGCATTTCTGCATTCCAGCAGCGAGTGTGTGGGCGCCCAAACCAGACATGTACCACCATCCACCACTGCTCAGAACTAAAGGAATATTTAGACTTTCGTCTAACAAAGCCCATGCAGGACTCGTATGCTGCAAACTGCACACTTGTGATGAGGGAAATGGAAGATCTAAATAAATGGAGATGTATTATGTTCATAGGTGGGGAGACTCAACACAATCCAGGTGTCAAGCCTCCCCAGACTGATATACAGGTTTAACATAATTTCTTCAAGATCCAAGCAAGAATTCCAAGAAACATGTTTTTTCAAAAATACTCTTGAAAAAGCAAAATAAAGTAGGAGGATTCAGGTTACTGAATATCAAGGCTTATCACGTAGCTTCAGTGGTCAATGCAGAGGGGTTGGTGGAGGGGCAGACACAGGACCAGTGGGCAGAGCGGGAGACCCGGAGAGCTCACATGATCTCACTCAAGCTCCAGAGCAATGCCAGGCTCAGCCCACCCTGGGCACCCTGAGACGAGATCTCAGGTGACCGTCTGTCTGGTAGTGTTGGGAACCCATGGCCCCGGTGCCCCATCCCACAGCCCAGCACGGGAGTTCAATGGGGAGGGCAGGAGTGGGTACATGGACAGGCCCAAGGCCGCCTGTTACTAAGTGGCCGGGCTGGACTCCATGCCCTGGTTAGGAGGCAGCAGCCATGACTGCTCAGCTGGCAAGTTCTCGTTGCCACCTCCCCAGCTGCTGCAGACGACCTGCCCATCTCCCCACACCCACTGGCAGAATCTCCCTGCCTCCCAGACACCCCTCTTCTCCATGAGGGGCAGGCGGGTGGGCTGGTCGGTCCCCGGCCTCTCCTGGCTCATCCGCTTTAGTTTCTGCAACCTTTCATGTCCTCCGCACTTTGAACTATGACCAAGCCCTGCCACCTCGCCATCATTCCCATACACTACTGAGCACCTACTGTGTGCTAGGACAACAGGTAAGGCCTGTTGGTCCTGGCATCCCCAGGTGTGCTTCGGGTGTGTCCAGCTGTGTGTCAGGTGTGCCCCAGCTGCGCCCACCCGTGTCTTGGATGTGCCCCTGGCCTCTTGGTTCCGCATCCCTCGCCCTGCCTCTCCGCCTGGGGCCTCAGCCCTGGGTGCAGTTTGGGGCTCTGCTTCCCTGGCCCAGTCTCACCTGCATGCTTCTCTTGACGTTTCTGCTTTGCCTGCACACCCCGAGGCTGATCCCTCAGCAGTGCCGGGGTTACCTGCGGTCATCAGAGCCCTCAGCGTGACCTGGGGGCACAGCCGCCCTGCGTGCCTGGGCAGGACGAGTGTGGCCCTCACAGACCGACCACTTCCCAGGCTGTTCACCTTGGGGTTTTTCTCCTAAATTTCTATTATCAGCTGCTTTTCTTCTCACTTGCTTTTTTTTAAGGCAGAAGTGCAATACCAAAGGGAAAACCACCAGCAGTCTTCGTGAGTCAGGGCTTCCCTGGGGCCCCTCCCTTGGGCTGGGCCCCCGTCCCCACAGGAGGCACGGGGGTCGCCTGCATAGGCCAGAAGCCGAGTGGGCAGTGCAGAATAGCGCAGGCCTGGGGTTTGTCCTTCCCGGCTGTCAGGAGGAAGGAGCCGGCAGGGCGGGCCATCTAATCCGTCTGGGAGCCGCTTAAGGGATTGTCTTTTCTGGCACCTGCTGGCCACCCAGGTACGTCCTTCACAACCCTGCTGGGATTAGCCTGGGCTGTGCCACCGGGCCCCCTGGGCTCCAGCACAGCCTCCAGTCACCCCTCCACCACAGGGGACGCTTGCCGTCCTGAGGTCAGGAGCGGGCACAGGCCAGGGCAGCAGGTCAGGCCCGCTCCGGACTTGGGGCGCTAGCCCATGGCCCATCGTGCCTGACGCAGCGGGGTGCTGACACAGGATGGATTTTGGGTCCTTGGAGACAGTGGTGGCCAACTCCGCCTTCATCGCCGCCCGGGGCAGCTTCGATGACAGCAGTACGCCCCTCGCCCGGGACAGGAAGTACCTGGCCAAGCTCAGGCTGCCCCCGCTCTCCAAGTGCGAGGCCCTGCAGCAGAGCCTGGACCTGGCGTTCCATAGCGTGTGCGTGGAGCAGCCCATCGGAAAGCGGCTCTTCCGGCAGTTCCTGGGGGCCCACGAGAAGCACGTGCCGGCCCTGGAGCTCTGGAAGGACGTGGAGGACTACCACACGGCTGGTGACGACCTCCGACCACAGAAGGCCCAGGCCATCCTGGCTGAGTACCTCGACCCCCAGGCTAAACGCTTCTGCAGCTTCCTAGACACTGGGACTGTGGCGCAGGCCCAGGGGGCACCCATGACAAGTGGGGACTGGCTCTCCCAGCCACTCCTGCAGGCCACCCTGGCACACCTGGGCCAGGCGCCCTTCCAGGAGTACCTGGGCAGCCTGTACTTCCAGAGGTTTCTGCAGTGGAAGTGGCTGGAGGCCCAGCCCACGGGCGAGGACTGGTTCCTGGACTTCAGGGTCCTGGGGAAAGGTGGCTTCGGGGAGGTGTCGGCCTGCCAGATGAGGGCAACAGGCAAAATGTATGCGTGTAAAAAGCTGAACAAGAAGAGGCTGAAGAAGAGGAAGGGGTACCAGGTGGGCAGTGCAGCCGTGCACGGCGGGCACGGAGGAATCACCCCCAGACTGATGGGCTGACCAGCCTCCGTGCCCCTCCACAGGCCCACCCTGCCCTGTGGACTCCAAGCCCCTCTGCCGTGCAGCCACTGGCCGGTTCTAGTCTGTCCACAGCTCCTCTTCCCAAGCCAGCCCGTGTGGCCCAGAGCATGGCAGCGGGAGGAGGCGGCCTCCGGCCTGTGGCACCTCTTGCCTGGCTGCCCACGGCCCTGGGAGCCACTCGGCATTGTAGGTGTGGGTGGCCGACTGGTGCCCTCTGGGTTTCACCAACACCACGAAGTGCAGGAGCCAGTGCTGTGGGAAGGGCATTGCAGGCTCTCCGCTCTTCACGCCACTTCTGGAGCTGCCAAGGGCTGCATGTGCCATGAAGGAGGGAGCCGAGCTAGAGCTGCCCGTTTCCTGGGAGGCGAGGCTGCAAGGTGGGGTGCAAGCCGTCCCCGAGTGCAGCTGCTCCCAGGGATGGCAGCGGGTGAGGTGCCCCTAACTGGTGTCGGCTCCTTTCAGGCAGGATCAGCGGCAGGAAGCTGCTCACGTCTTAGGAAATCAACTCCCAGCTGCAGGTTCTGTCTCCGCCCTCCGGTCCCTGCATCGGGGTCACAGCAGCCTCCAGAGAGTTCTCCTGTCCGGGGGTCCTGGGTGGTGCTCCCCGTGGGCAGTGCTCCCCGTGGGACGTGGGGGAGGGAGCTACCCCTTGGGGGCTCCATCTGTGATTCTAATCCAAGGCCTAGGGCACTGCCGTCGCTCTCCGCGTTCACTTTCCTCGCTGATGCCAAGTAAAATCAACCCGAAACCTTCCACCACAGCAGGATAGAGGGGGGCCCATATCTACGTATCCTCCTCCAAAAGGGGTTCTGTTTTCCTTACCCAAACCCAGCTTTTAAGAACATGTTAAATGGACACCACAAGGTTTTAAAATAAAGACGGAAAATGAGTACAGCTGTGGGGTGGCTTGGCCGGCACCGCTAGGGGCCTCACTGGGGGAAAGGGGCCGGGATGGTGGCAGGACGAGCTGCCAGCTGCAGGGAAGGACTGGGGGGAGATGGGCACTGAGCAGGCATCCAGGAGGGCACCGGGGCCTCACGGGGCAAGTCAGGCTGGAGGCCCCAGGAAACCAGAAGTTCTCTGAGAAACACAGCGATCGCTCTGTGCAAACCACTTTTAAAGTCTGTCTGACCTGCTGTGATGTTTTCTCCTCTGTGGGGCTTGGTCTTAAGGCCGCACTTTCCTGCCTGAACCTGGGCTCTTGTTCCTTGATGATCAGGGCGCCATGGTGGAGAAGAAGATTCTAGCCAAAGTCCACAGCAGATTCATAGTCTCTCTGGCCTACGCGTTCGAAACCAAAACTGACCTCTGCCTGGTGATGACCATCATGAATGGAGGCGACATAAGGTAAGGGGGCTCCTCTCTCCAACGTGGGGGTCAGGCCGGTGGGTGCTGCAGTCCCCAGGCTTGGACAGCAATGCAGGCGGGAGCTGCACGTGGCGGACTCGCACTGCGGCGCTCTGTGCCCCGTTACACTACAGCACGCCGCGCACTGCACGTGCCACACCCCCGCCTCACCGCCGCCTCACCGTTCTCAGCGCAATACAACATAAAGGCCGGCTGCTGTCAGCCCAGCTGCCTTGTACTGGGCCCAATCTGAGGGCCTGTCTCCCTCTCCCTGTCCTTCTCGTCTCTTTCAGGATTCCCAGTCCACCTCCCCACCCCCTGGTCTCTGTATAAATCATCTGTTTCCTTTTACTCATTTGCTTCTCTTCGAATGTGACAGTGGAAGGCACGAAAAAGAACCACTGTGGGGGAGGTGGGAGGCTGCGGGTCCATCGAAGAGTTTGTCTGTCCAGCTTGGGTGAAGAGGCCGATGTGCCGACTGCTTACATTCGCGGCGATGTGAGCTGCTCACGTCCCTCATGCCCTCCGCCCTATTTGCATAGCGATGGTGAAGTGGCTCTGGAGCTCACTGCCCGGCCTCCGCAGGTCGGGGCGGGAGAAGGTGACCCTCACTGCTCCATTTCTCCCCGTAACGGCTGTGGGGAGGGGCCTCTGAGGGCACAGGCACCACCACAGGCTCTCCCGGCTGAACCCTGAAGCCCTGCAATGACCAGACACGGTACAGGGTCCTGGGGGCCTCACTGTTTTACAACCCGTCCACCCCCCGCCCCCCATCAGGACCATGGCACCTGCCCATAGTCGTGGCAGAAAAGCACAGGCCTCCGTGTGGTCTGCCTCCAGGTACCACATCTACAACGTGAACGAAGAGAGCCCTGGCTTCCAGGAGCCCCGGGCCGTCTTCTACACGGCCCAGATCGTCAGCGGCCTGGAGCACCTGCACCAGCGAGGCATCGTCTACCGGGACCTCAAGCCCGAGAATGTGCTCCTGGATGACGACGGTGAGCGGCCCCCGCCTGGCCCCATGCCCGGCTCGCCTCTGTGACCCGACTGTCATTGGCAGGGGGGTGAAGGCTCGTCACAGCGTTAAGTGGCACCAAAAACATCTTAGGTGGCCCATTCAGCCGCTGGGTGATGGAACGGCATTATCTCCCAACGGAGATCTTTGGTGACCTTTGGTGGTCAGGCGCCTGGGGCTCTGGGGCAAGTCCGGGTGTCTGTGTGTGTGGAACTCCTGGAGAATGGCTGCTACTTTGTGGCCACTGGTCACTCTAGTGCTCTTTCTTCTGTGGGAAGGTGCACTGGGGTTCTCACTAGGAAGTGCACAGGGATTCAGGCCTCCTTTATGCCCTTCAGGGTCCCCTTCCTGTCACCAGCCTGAACAAATGCAGGGCCACTCCAGCTGGGGCCAGGCCTGGGCAGAGACGGCAGATGGGGAAGCTGAGTGTGGGTGGACTGCGCCCCCGATCCCAGTTGCCGGTGCTGCTGGGCAGCTCGGTCCCCCTGCAGTGTGGCCAGGAGCAGAGGCCCCTGGGTGCTGGGCGGGGGTGCGCGCGTGTGTGGCTGGTCCTTGGCCCCCACGGGCTCTGGGAACACCGGGTGCCTTTGCTCCGTGAGCCATGTGTGACCCCAGCCCGTGTTTGCTTTTCAGGCAATGTCCGAATTTCTGACCTTGGGCTGGCCGTGGAGCTGAAGGATGGGCAGATGAACACCAAGGGTTATGCAGGGACCCCAGGCAAGTTCCTGAGGGCAGGGGCGGGGCTGGGGGGGCTGGGGCCCCGGGGTCCCCGTGGCCTGGGGAGGACCTCACAGTGAGGGTGGGGGGCTTGTCAGGACACAGCCCCCTCATCCCTCGGAGCAAGCAGGGAAAGCAGAGTGACTGGCCAGTGCACTTGGCCTCGGCCCTGTCAGCTTGCTGCCCCTGCAGGGGCCGCCCCTCCCAGCCTCGGCAGTCACGACTGGCTTTGACATGAGGAGCCCCCTGGGATGGCGGCACCCACCCTCTAGCTTCCTGGGCACTCGCAGGAGGCATCAGTCGGGGGCTGAGGGTCTGCTGAGCAGATCGACAGGAAGGGGGTGAGTGGGCAGGCAGGCCGGCAGAGGCACACGGGCACCGAGGCCAGCGCTGCCTGGGGAGGCTCATGATGGAGAAGCAGGGAAGGTCGGGGGTTTTGGAGGGGAAGCGCCGCCTTTGTCCAGAGCCCGTGTGTGCGTGGGCGTGCACACGCGTGTGTCTGGGTGTGCATGTGTGTGCAGAACATTCTCTGCCTCCCCACCCACCTCACATTTGCCCTTAGTCCCAGGCAGGCGGGAAGCGGCAGGCACAGAGAACAGGGGGTGGCTCATAGCCAGGTGGCCCGCCCACGCACCTGCCGCGCCCAAACACCTGTGCTCCTAGGTGTCCATGTGCCCACGTGCCTGGGCATGGCGGGCAGGGCTCGGTGACACGGTGCTGTCCCATGCCCGCCGCAGCACCCCACGCGGGTCACACCTACTGCGCCTCCACGTTCTTGGTGGTCCATGCTCCCAGGCGTTCTTCTGCAGGACTTTTCAACAAATCCCCTCCTCCCCTGCTGGCTGGCTTTGGGAGACAGTGCCGCCTTTGTTTTGTGTCCTGGGTCCTCCTAGTCCTGGGCTCTGGGCTCCTTTTGGGTTTGTGCCCGTGTGATGGTGGGTCTGTCCTCATCTGTGGTTTGTTTAGGGAAAGGTCCCATCTTGAGTTTGCCGGATCCTAAACCAAAATCTTGGCTGGGTCTGGGCTCAACCACTTCTGTCCTGAGCGTGTGTGGAAACACCCCTCGTGTATTTCCAGGCCATGCAGACCCTGGGGGGAGGCCCCAGACAACTCGCACCAAAGCCAGGGCTGGAGGCACTTGCACCTGAGGCTGTGAGGGCCCACGGGCCTGGCTGTGTCCGCTGCCTCCAAGCTTTCCAGGAGCCGGGGCTCTCTTGTGCCCTGGGGGTCAGGTGCAGGGGAGTTCCAGGGAAAGTGGGAAGCGGGGACCCTGGCGAAGCTGCAGGGCCCCCAGGTCCTGCCTCCTGGCCCCCTGGCCCCTCCAGTGCTGGGCCTAGGCCGGAGCCTGGACCGGCCAGCAAGCCCCATAAGCAGGGCCGGGCTGGCACTGTACCTGCCCTGGGATTGGGGGGTGGGGGCGTGAGCCAGCAGGTGAGGGGGCTGGTGGGGGACAGAGATGGCGTGCCCTCTTTCATTCATTCGTCTGACAAGTATTTATCTCACTTTGACCCACGCCATGAAGGGCCCACCATTTTGGGTGGCTGGGATGGCGCTGGGCAGGGCGCCTGGGTGCCCTGGCAGTGCATCTCAGCATCAGCCGCGTCCCTGTGTCCTTCGGGCTCCATTTCAGCCTAGAAGTCGTGCTTCCCACAGACCCTGAGTGGTCTGGACAGTGAGGTAGTTCTCTGGAGGGCAGACTTACCCGGCCAGGCGGCTCCTGGAACCCCTTTGGAGGGCATCCATTCTGTGGTCACATCAGCCTGGCATGTTCCTGAGCACGTCCCCATCCCTGGGGAGACATGGCACGCTGGGTGACCCGGAGCAGACGGGCAGTTCTCAGCTCGTCTCCGGATGTCTGAAGTCATGTGGCACAGAGGCCACCCCCATGCCCATGTGCTCACCCCAGGGACCGGCCCGGCTGCCCATTCCACACACAGGGCTGGCACTGACTTTCAGGATGAGCCGCACACGTGGCCCCCCCTCCCCAGGTGCAGCGCAGGCCTGGCACGGAAGGGGCTGCGTCACAGCGGCTGCCGGGGCTCTCTTTGGATCCTGGCTTGAATCTGCCCTTCTGTGCCCTTCTAAGAAGCGCCTGGTGGTGCCCGGGCGGCACATACCATGGCCCCACAGGTCGCTCCCCCAAGAGGCAGGCAAGGATGTCGTTCTGTGGTGCTCGCCAGAGGGGCCCTCAGCGATGCCAGGGCACAGGGCCAGCCGCCACCACCGTCGCTGCCAAGGTTTCCTGGGGTAGAGCCTCAGCTCCTCCCTGGGCCGGGCACGATCCCGCGGGTCCAGGCCTGGCTCTGAGGCCTTGTGCTCTTGCCTGCAGGCTTCATGGCCCCTGAGCTCCTGCGGGGTGAGGAGTATGGCTTTTCTGTGGATTACTTTGCCCTGGGAGTTACGCTCTATGAAATGATTGCTGCCAGAGGACCCTTCCGAGCCCGGGGAGAGAAGGTAGGAGGTCACCTTGCAGGCATCCCCCAGTGACCTGGCGACCACCGCTGAGCTGGGGTCACAGGAGCGGGTGTCCTGCAGCAGCGACAGGGAGGGCGTGGCTCGGACGCGCCCTGCACACGCCCTGCATGCAGGGGCCCCACCAGAAGGGAGGAGGGGCAGGTTGGAGGCAGAGCCCCTAGGAAGATGCATCCGCTCGGTGAGGGCCGGCCAGCGCTGCCCACCCTGTGGTGAGGGGGCTGCAAAGGACACGGCACTTTTGGGTGACTGTGGTGGGTCCCCAAGCTCTTCCCCCAAGGCCCTACCAGTGGGGTTTGTGGGTGTGAGTCACACTCCATCAGTGGCTTCAGGCACAGCCTAGCTTCCGTCCAGTTACCAGGTGTCCACTCCTGTGTCACTTTATTTCTTGTTGTCTTCCAAGGGTGAGCAAAGGGCATGTAGATGTGCCAGGGTGCCTGCCAGGCCTCACTGAAATGCGCCGCTAGGGTTTCCTCCTGTGATGCCCATCTGCAGGGGAGGATGCACCGAGCATTGGGCGGGGGCACGGGTGGACCGGCGGGCTCCCTAGGGGCACCTCTGGAACTGGGGGCCGGTTGGGCATAACAGGAGCCACCTGCTTGCAGGTGGAGAACAAGGAGCTCAAGCAGCGGGTCCTCTCAGAGGCGGTCAAGTACCCGGACAAGTTCAGCCCGGCCAGCAAGGCCTTCTGCGAGGCGCTGTTGGAGAAGGACCCCGAGAAGCGCCTGGGATTCCGAGGCGGGACCTGTGATGGGCTCCGCGCCAGCCCCCTCTTCAGGGACATCAACTGGAGACAGCTGGAGGCTGGTAGTGCCAGGGGCCTGCAGGCCGGGGGAGTGCGGGGCAGAGCCTGTGACCCCATGGTGGGCTCCTGTGGGGCAGGGAGGTGCGGGGTGGGTGAGGGGCAGAGACCCCACAGTGGGCTCCTGCAGGGCAGGAAGCACAGGTGGGAGGCTGGCCTCTTTCACAACCTAGAGCAGATGCATTTCCTAGCCTCCCATCCCACCGGCTCCAAGCCCAGGAGCACAGAGCCTCCAGCTAATGGGGCCCCCAGGAGGGCTGCCCTCTGCCCTTGCGCCCTCTCACCCCAGGCTTTCTGGCAGGAATGCTGATGCCCCCGTTCATCCCAGACCCCAGGACCGTCTACGCCAAGAACATTCAGGATGTAGGAGCCTTTTCCACGGTGAGAGGCGTGGTCTTTGACAAGGCAGACACCGAATTCTTCCAGGAATTTGCCACTGGCAGCTGCCCCATTCCCTGGCAGGAGGAAATGATCGAGTCAGGCGTCTTTGGGGAGCTGAATGTGTGGCGCTCTGATGGGCAAATGCCCGATGACATGAAGGGGGTCAGCGTGGAGGCAGCGTCCATGTCCAAGTCAGGAATGTGTGTGGTTTCCTAGGTGACGCGGAAAGGGCCCCCTGCAGCCCACAGGCCAGGAGGCCTTTGTGTCAGCCAGGCCACCCCAGCTTGGTCAGGAGCAAGGCCCCCTCCTGCAAACAGGTCACTGCTTTCACCCCATCTCACTCAAGAAAGACAGCACAGTGACTCCCGGATGGGATCCACTGGTGACTGTCCAGCCCCCGTGTGGACGTGCGAGCTGGAGGCGATGTGGGGGCCGGGCAAATGGCTGTGGTTCTGGAGGTGCTCTGTGTGGGTCTCCTGGCACCTTAACTGCGATTCCTGGAGCATCCTTGGTAGGGGGCCATGGTGGGGGCTCAGGGGCTGGGGAACCGCGTCCGCAGCTCACGGGCTGCCAGAGAGGACTGACTGTGGCCCTGGCGCAGTTCCCCTTTGTGCCCAGCTCCTGGCGTGCCTGCCAGCGCCAGGGCCTGAGCTCCTCACCGCCGCATTTGGGGGTGCTGGCATCTGCCAGGTGCTGAGCAGTGCAGCCTTGGCAGGGCCCCTTGGCCTAGGCTGGGGCCCAGGTGTCCGGGGTGACGGAATGCGTGGGGTCTGGGTGAGACAACAGCAGCCTGCCCTTTGGCAGCTCTTGCTCCTGAGACCATCTCCAGCTGATGGCGGCCAGGAGCTGCCCAGCCCCACAGACAGACAAGGAACTGGGCATTCTCTCTCCAGTCTGAGTCCTGCCCGCCACCCCACAAAGCCAGCTGGGTCCTCTCTGGCCCTTTCTGGCTCTTGCCTCTTGTGGTAGCTTTGGCCAGGCTGGTCTTGCTACGTGGGGCTTGCTGACTGATGGCCAGGCCCAGCAGGTCCCCTCTCCATGTCCCCAGCAGCTATCGTCCTAGGGGCTTGCAGCCCATCGCTCTGTCCCTCCCAGCCCCAGGGCACCTCCTTCGCATGTCTGGTGTTTCCGACTGACGCTTTCTCCTCTAAGTGCTTTAGGCATTTTAACTGGAAGGACTGTTTCCATAGCAGCTGCTCCACAAACGTGCACTCTCTTAAGCTGGGGTTCATGGTGCCGGCTGGGCATCAGGCCACCGTGCGGGGCTCCCGTGAGGCCAGCACCCAAGGAATTGTAGCTCAGGACCCAGGACTCACTTTCAGGGGAGAGGTCTCTGCCTGCTCCCCAGCCGTGGCAGAGATGTGCCCGTGGGAGTCAGCACTGAGGGTGTGGACCTCCGCACCCTCACACTATTTACCAAGTGGGGGTGCCCATGCTCTTGGAGTGTGAGCACCACATGCCTCCTCCCTCAGACTGTAAGGCCCCGTGTGAGGGAACCCCTCCCTCAGAGGTCCCCTGCCACCTGCTGCCCCTCCACCCTCAGGACATGTGTGGACCTCGGCCCCGAGTGACCCTGCTGCAGGAGAGCCTAGTGGGTGTGTCGTGGCCCCTGTTGTGTGGGGTGGAAGCTTGGGTACAGATCTGGCTGGTTTCTGGGTACCCTTAGGAGTTCTTTGAAGGCTTTGCCCCCAGTGCCTGGGTGGTGAAGGGAGCCAGCGGGGGCCTTCCCTCCAGTGCGTGGGATCCTGAGCCACGGAATGTTCTGGAGGGACCTGGAGAAGCATCCAGTGTGTTTTGCTCTGTGACCCAAAACTACCCCATGCATGGCAGAGGCCCTGCGGCAGTCACATACAGTCTCCCCTAGATCTGCACTGTCCCCTCCTCGGGTGGCCCTGGGAGGCCTGGGGAAAGCCCACGGAGAGCTGGGGTCCATCTGACCCTGGGACATGGGGTGCATGCGTGAGGCGCTCCCTCGCTCCTTCACGGGGTCCCTTTCTGGCTCCCGCAGCAGCTGGCAGGTCCTTGTCTGCAGTCTGCACAGGTCGCTGAGTGTGTGATTAAGGACCCAGCAGCAGCCCGGCCTGGGTCAGTCTCGGGAAGCTGGGCTCCCCACCTGTACCCCATGTTGGGGCTACCCCATCCCGTGAGCGTGCAGCCTCGCAGTTGGGCCTCAACTGGACATGGCACAGAGAACAGGCCTTGTGACAGCTAATAGAGCACAGTTCAAAAGGAAAGCTTCAGTGGGAAAACATGAAATTAAAAATAAATGTGAGACACGCCGTCAGTACTGCCTGGTGTAAAATGAAGGTAACAAGGCTTAATTAGACTTTGTAAAGAGCAGACCTCAGTTCCCCAGTTACGCCAGGAAAATGTTTTTCCACGTTCAGACTTCCCACTTCCAAGGAGAATGGGCTGCGGGCGTGTGTCCCCAGGCGCCGATGCGTCTGTGAGCTTGCTGAGGGCGGGGTGCTCACGCCTGTTCCTGGGGTCCTGGGGGGTGCCAAGGCCCTGCCTTCCAGCACATGAGTGTTTGGTGTCTGCGTGGGCGCCCGGCTGCAAGGGGCGTAGTTGTCGTCTTTCAAGAGGGCCGTGGCTAGGCCGCCCAGACGCTGTCTGCAGGTGGCTCAGCGAAAGCTGGAGATGCAGGACAAACCCGCGGTGGCCGCGTTGGAGGCTGGGGGGGTGCTCTTGCTCCCAGGAGTCATGAGGGGCTTTGGGATTCCAGGGGGGTCTGTGGACAAAGGAGCCGCTAAAGGTGAGACATCAGGAACACAGCAGCCGTCCCGCCCGATGGTGGTTACGAGGCCTTTGTGCAACACGCCGTCCTGCTGCCCAGCACCTCTCCGCAGGGACGCTGGCAGCCACCTGCCGCCTCCTGGGGCGCCTGCATTATTCATCCCCGAGCTCCATTTCGGGGGCTGCTTGGTTACAGGGGCATCGTGTTCCACCGCCCACGCTCCACGGGCCCTGGAGCTGAGAGGCCAGGTGCCGCCCGCACGGGCGCCCCTGTGGTGATCCGGGCTGCCTGGGGACGGGAGGCCTGCGCTTCCGGGGAGACCGGAGAAGCTGGGGCTGGACACTGAATTCTGTGGTTCTCTCCATCGCTTTCCTTGGAGCTGGTACCACCGCACCCTGCCCCAGCCCTTTCACCCCTACCTGCCCGTCAAACCAGTCAGGCTGCAGTGCTGGGTCCCCAGCGAGCTCTCCAGCCGTGGGGCCTGGAAGGCACAGCAATCAGAGCGATTATGTGCCCGCCCATGCTGAGCCGGTCAGGGCCCTGGGCTGAGCGCTTGTGAGTCCAGATTATTCAATCTTCCGTCAACAGATGTTTATCCACCACCTGCCATGAGCCAGACGTAGTTCTAAGCAGAGAACAGAGTGACAGCAGTCCCTGCCCTCGAGAGGCCTGTTCTGGGACAGAACTGAACGTGTGCTGGGTCTCATGCCGGCCCACCCCTCACCGCCTGCTTGATCCAAAAGATGCCAAGCTCCCTGTTCTAAGAGCCCCCGGGAGGCCCCTGCCCCTGCGCGCACCAGGGGCCACACATACTCCCTTCCTGGGCAGCATCCCTGGCCATCTATTTAATTCTAGATTCTGCTTCCTCTCCCCGGCTCAAGCCAGAGCCTGAGATTCATGGCTTCCGGGAGGGAGGCCTTGGCGGGGGTGGGGCAGAGTCCCTGCAGGTCTGTCCATCTTTGTTTTCTTCAAAGCCCAGTCCCAGAGAACCCAGAGGCAGAAGAGGGGTGTCCCGGGCCAGCTGTACAGCAGGGCTGCCCGGACCCCAACCCTCCCACCTGGGAGGCAGGCCTGGAAGCTGCAGAGGCATGCTGGCCATGAAAGGCCACCTGAGCTTGGCAGGGGACACTGGGACGTAGCGCTGCCCTCACTGGAACCAAGGCCAACCCAGTGTGTTTGCCCTTGAGTATCTTGTGCATAGAGGAAACGCAGTGAGTATGTGCTGGTTGCGTGAATTAAGGATCACATCAGTCTCTAGTCAGGTAAACGCCCCTCCCCTGGTAGATGTGGTTATGCTTGAGGTCAGACTGGCCTGATTCATATCTTGTTTCTGCCACCAACCAGCTGCTTGGCTTTGGAAAATTATTTAAATTCTCAATGTCTCGGTCTCTCCATCTGTCACATGCTGCACAGACTAAATAAAGCAGCGTGTGGGGAGCGGCAATCACGGCCGAGACAGTGGGGGCACCCCTGATGGGGGGACGGTGTCCACGAGGCGGCTCCACGTCCCTCCAGGGCCTGGGGGCCTGTGTCTGCGGGGCAGCAGAGCCACGATGTCGGAGCAGGAGGTGGCCCTGGCGGCACAGCACACATGCGTCACCTGTGCTGCGACTGCCACCCCATCCTCGGTACCTTCGGCCCGGCAGGCAGGTCTCCCAATCTCCTGACAGCCTCTGCGGCAGCCAAGTCAAATGACATTTGATGCCCTGACTGCAGATGGTGTCCGCTGCACAGCTGGGCTCGGACAGGCCTGCGCAGGGCGAGGCAGGGTCACTGGTGGCTGGTGGGCCCACAGGATGTGAGCCGAGCTCGCACGGGGCCGTGCGCTGTCTTGAGCGCAGGGCGGGGGCCAGGAGCAACGCGGAGCAGAGCCCCCAGTGGTTAAACATGGGTGCTGGGGGCTCAGGGTTGGCGCTGGGCTGCACAGGTGACCTCCCGAACCGGGACCCTTATCCGGCGGGGACAAGACAGAGGCGCGATGCGGCCTTGCTGCCTCCACCTGCGCGCACACGGCCCAAGACGGCTCTGGAGGGGGCAAAGCTGCCCCTCCAGGTTGACATCTAGAACTCTCTACAGTTCACTACTTGGAAAAGGTTATTGTTCCTGGCCACACCTCCCCACACCCACGCACTCACCCCACACTCAGTGCTCACGCACACACGCATGCAGCCCACACAGTCCATTCACGTGCTCCCTTGCACACCCACCCGCCCCCCACGATGCTCACATGCAAACACTCACAGGCTCGCACACCCCTTCGGGAACATTGCAGCAAGTTCTGGGGACTGCGCGTGAAGCCCACTGGTTGCTGGGACTTGTGCAGGGGTGGTTGTGAGCCCGGCCGCCCGCCTGACTTTGCCGCACCCCAGGGTGAGACCCAGGTTATCTGGTTCACCCCCTGAGCCTCAGTTTCCCCGCCTCAGCACAGCAAGAGTGGCAGCATGTGGCTGGTGCAGAATGCCCAGTGGCCTTCATTAAACATCGGCGTGCTGACTCGCAAGCAGTGACCAAACCGGACCTCCTCCTGTAGGAAGGTGTCCGTCCAGACGAGCTCGTGCTGCTGGACTGCTGCTGGCTGAGCGGGCGGCGCACGATGAGCGGGTGAACGCGGGACGGCCTGGCGCTGGCAGTCCTGCCCACCACCGCCCTGCTCCACGTCTTCCATGATTGCTTCTGTTTGGGGACCCGGACGCGTCCCCCTTTGGGGAGAGACACTGGCTTCGTAGGGCGGGTGGAAGAACTGCCCTCTCATCCCGAGCTTTTAGCTGAGACTCGCACATGGCACAGCTCTGCATCCTGCAGAGAGCGACACCCTC